ATAAAAAGGCAAGAAAGTTAAGGATGTTTGCCAGGCAGTGATTTATAAGGATGACTGAATGCTCAGAGGTATGAAGAGGAAATATAAAGAACAAAGAAATGACGAAAGGTGTAAATGTGATAGGATAGTTGTCTTTATGGTATTAAAGAATTATTGCAGTGGCACATGTCTGTAATCCTAGTACACTGAGAGGTGAGGCAGAAAGGTTGCTTCAGTTTAGGAGTTTGAGACCAGCCTGAGCAAGAGTGACACCCGTCTTAGAAAAACTAGCTGGGTGTTGTGGCAGGTGCCTATAGTCCCAGCTACTGGGGAGGCTGAGGCAAGAGGATCACTTGAGGCCAGGAGTTTGAGGTTGCTGTGAACTGTGATGCCATGACACTCTCCCAAGCACAACAAAATGAGATCTGTCTCAAAAAAAAGCAAAAGAAAAGAAATGCTCATACAGTAATTTAAAAAAAAAAAATCCAGGGCGAAGAGGATCACTTGAGTCCTGAAGTTCAAGACCAGCCTGAGCAAAAGTGAGACCCCACTCTCTGAAACAACCGGGTGTTAAAAAAAAAAAAAAAGCAGCCAGGTGTTGTGGTGGGCACCTATAGTCCCAGCTACTCAAGAGGCAAGAGGATTGCTTGAACCCAAGAGTTTAAGGTTGCTGTGAGCTATGACACAACACTCAACTGACAGCAGCAAAGTGAGACTCTGTTTTTGTAGCAAAACACAAAAAAAGATATCTAACTATTTACTATATAGTATTAGTTATATAAACATAAGCAAAGAATAATGGTTACAAAAAATTCTAATATGTTAACACTACTCATCTATGGTTTGTGAGATTGTGGATGAGCAGACTTTTGACATTCTAAAATATCTGTCTCTTCTATACTGGATAAATTAATCAAAAGTATAATACCATGTTACTACTGGAAAGAGGCTTTTTACCTTTCTAATATTTGAAAATAAAAGGACTATGAGAATGATTAATTTTAAACTTTTTCTTGTGGGAACACTCCATTTTATATATAAGGGCTATAGGCCAATGAAAAGTTTTAAAGCACAATTCCAATTATTTTGTTACTTTAACTCAGCAATCCACAGGAACTGTACTGAGAGGCTGTGGCATTAGGAAGGTTGAGAACCACTGCTCTAACTACATCAAAATCTCTAGTCCCATAACTCATAGCTCAGCCTCTTTGACCATGCTTTGAGCCTAGGACTCATAGCTGACTCCTCTCTCCTGATTACAGATATATTCATTAATCCCCCTGCCTATTCTCTGACCTTGACAGACAGCTTACTCTCTAGCTCAGTGTTTCTCAACCTGTGGGTCATGACCCATAGGAACTGTATTAAAGGGCCGTGGCATTGGGAGGGTTGAGAACCACTGCTCTATCTTCTCAACTGCAATAATCCTTTTTTTTTAAGAGACAGAGATTCACTTTATCGTCCTTGGTAGAGTACTGTGGTGTCACAGCTCATAGCAACCTCCAACTCCTGGGCTTAGGTGATTCTCTTGCCTCAGCCTCCCAAGTAGCTGGGACTACAGGTGCCTGCCACAACGCCTGGCTATTTTTTGTTGCAGTTTGACTGGGGCCGGGTTCGAACCTGCCACCCTTGGTATATGTGGCCGGCGCCCTGTATGTGGCCTGAGCCACAGGTGCCACCCCTACTTTTTTTTTTTTTAATTGAGAGTCTCACTCTGTCGCATTGGGTGGAGTGCCACTGGTACTGTAGCTTACAGCAACCTCAAACTCCTGGGCTCAAGAGATTCTTTTGCCTCAGCCTCCTAAGTAGCTGGGACTATAGGCACCTGCCACAATGCCTGGCATTTCTTTTCTTTTTCTTTTTTAGAGGCAGGGTCTTGCTCTATCTCAGGCTGGTCTCGAACTCGTGAGCTCGGGCCTTGGCCCGCCTTGGCCTCCCAGAGTGAGCCACCACGCCCAGCCAGTATGAGCAGTTCATTACTGAATTTTAAATACTGAAAATGCCTCTAAAGAGACAAAAGAGATTATTAGAATACCTATGAAAAATCTCTAAATTGTAATACATCTTTTTTTTATGGATTCTGGATCATCTGGGAATTGAAAGATATCTTTCTTATCTTAACATTTGAGTTGATCAAGGAAGAAGAGTACAATAATAGACTATTTATAAAATAATAAATCAAATCAATACAGTGTAAGGCTGCTATGAACATGTCATTTTCTTCTGTTTTTATTTAAATAAAGTAAAATTGAATGAATTATTCAACCAAAGATTTCAGATGAAGATTAAAAAATTGTAAGTAGAGGAAACATTGTAAAAAGGAAAAGAGAAATAAGTTAGGAAATATAATAACATTGTTAAATTTAAGAAATAGGGAAAAAGTAGATAAATTCCTAGTAAATATAATCTAGATAAAAAACCCCACAATGAAATGAACTTTATATGAAAGTCTCAAAGGTTATAGAGGTAAACTAGAATGAGTAAGAAGGAAATTGAGAAAGTTATGGTAGTATGTGTACCAGCTATCAGAAAGGATTTTGGCCCTAATAGAGCCATTGATGAAATACTTTAATAAAGTTTTAAGGAAAATTGAATATCCTTGTATAAAATGAATATAAAACAAAGTTATGAGAGTTAGAAAACAAAGCTAGGCATTCTAAAATGCTGATTAATCTTATTTATGAGTATGTATGAAAATGTTAAAGAATGTGTTAGCTAATATGATTTATAAGTTTGATCTACCACTATCTAGTAAGAAATATTAAGATGTCTTAATATAAAAAAAAAATTATTGGCTTGGGAGGCTGAGGTAGGAGGCTTGAACCTAGAAATTCAAATTTAGCCTGGATAGCATAATGAGACCCTGTCTTTTAAAAAAAAAAATTGCTGTCCTTTATTAGATTTAATTAGGAGAAATGCTATAATGTAGTTTGATCTTCTTTGTGCTCATTCGTAATCAAATTATTTAGAAATAAATGAATATAAAAGGGTACTTTCATAGCGTGATAGGAATAATATACTTAATTATTAACTAGTATCAAATTTAAAAAGAAAATGCCTTTAAAACTGGCTACTTATTAGTATTTTATTGAACTTTAATACAGCTTTGCTATTTAGTATAGTCTGTGGGTTGGTGCCAGTCTGGGAATTACTTGTTACTGGTCTGTCAAGAGGTTTAGTACAGAAATTAAGATGAAATGTTTAGAAACTCTATAGCAATTTGACAGTAATTTTTTTTTGGGGGGGGGAACAGTCTCACTCTTTTGCCACAGACTAGAGTGCCATGGCATCAGCTAGCTCACAGCCACCTCAGACTCCTAGACTCAAGTGGTTCCCCTGCCTCAGCCTCCCTCCTGTGAGTATCTGGGACAATAGGCACCCATCACAATGCCTAGCTAATTTTTTCTGTCTTTAGTAGAATTGAGGTCTTGCTCTTGCTCAGGCTACTCTTGAACTTCTGAGTTGACAGATCCTCCTTCCTCAACCTCCTGAAGTGCTAGGATTATAGGTGTGAGCTACTATGCCAGGCAATTTTATCTCTTATTTTAGAACTGCAGATCAATAATTTGGACTTATAAAACTTTTAAATTTCATTTTTCTGGTTATTTTTTACTAGTTTTAAAAATAAGGCTAGGGCCAGGCACGGTAGCTCATGCCTGTAATCCTAGCACTCTGGGCTAGATGAGTGGATTGCTTGAGCTCATGAGTTTGAGAGCAAAAGCAAGACCCTGTCTCTACTAAAAATAGAAAAGCTGAGGCAAGAGGATTGCTGAGCTGAAGAGTTGGAGGTTGCTGTGAGCTGTGATGTCATGACACTCTAACCCAGGGTGACAGCTTGAGACTTTGTCTTATAAAAAAAAAAAAAAAGAAAAGAAAACAACCCTGAGTGCATTGGTTCACCTGTAATCATGGCACTTTAGGAGGCTGGGGAGGGAGGATGCTTGGGGCCAGGAGTTCTAGACCAGCCTGGGCAACATAGTGAGACCTTGTCTCTACAAAAAATTAAATAATTAGCCAGGCCCAATAGTGCAGACCTGTAGTTCCTGTTGCTTGGGAAGCTGGGGTGAGAAGATCATTTGAGCTCAGGTATTTGAGGTTATTGCCTAGGTAACAGTGAGATACCATCTCTTAAAAAAAATTAGCTTATTAATTTTATTAGCATCTTAGTAGAGTATTAGTCTGTGATGAATTGGAAGTAGGAAAAGTTGGTTCTTTCCCATACATAGTTTGAGAAACATCGCTCTGAATCATGCCACTAATGTAAGAATGAATATTTGGAAAGAGACAAATTTATCACTGTACTTGGATGATATGTTAATGTTATATACTGAGAAGAGGTGGGGGTCTTTTTGAAAGTAGTGTATAAACTAGTTTATATAGCTATAAACTACAGCTAATAAAAATTTAGTACAGTGGTCACATGTAGACAATAGCGTAGCTTTAGAAATTTGTTTTTCAGTTTTATATGATCATATTGTAAGATTTTATCGTATAGAACTGAACTATTGTTTTAATGATGAGAATAAACTCTTAAGAAATATAGCAGAAATGACATGATTCTTTCAGGGATAAGTAGTAATGGGAAGAGGCCTGAAATATAGTTAATATTGTGAGACATATAGAAAGAACAACTTTATATTTCCAAACTTTAATAAGAATGTCATTCATTAAAGGCTGGGCACGGTGGCTCATGCCTGGCCTAGCACTCTGGGAGGTCCAGGTAGGTGGATTGCTTGAGCTTATGAGTTCGAGAACAACCCAAACAAGAGTGAGACCCTGTCTCTACTAAAAAAATAGAAAAGCTGAGGCAAGAGCATCGCTTGAGCCCCAAAATTTGAGGTTATTGTGCGCTATGACGTCACAGCACTCTACCCAGGGTGACAGCTTGAGACTCTGTTTAAAAACAAAAATCATTAAATAGGAAGGTAATATAGGCTGAGTGGATGTTTTAATTTAACTGTTAATATGTATTTAACTCAGTTAATGACTGAGCATGTTTTCCTTTACAATTATTGTTTTAGAGAACAGACCCTTGGCATTTTCTTCCTCAAGAAATGGATTCTTCTCAAACCTTGGCTACATCTCAGACCAAGTTTAGCCTGACAACGGAAGGGGCTGATGTGACAGACTTCCCCTCTGTGGAGGAGGGTTTACTGACCCAGTCAGATAACCAAGTAAGGGATCCCAACAGAGATCTCTTATGTTCTCCATTGTTAGGTAATGCCTCTTTATTTTCAACTAGTAGTAATAACTCATATTTGTAAAATAGGTTTTGGGGCTTGCAAGTCCTGCAACTACTTTGAGTTGAAGAGCTCTATAGAACTGTACTCAAGGGATTAGCTCACTTCTGGTTTTCTACACTGGCTAGCTGGTCTAGTTATATTAAATGTGTAGTTGCCTTTCATTTTATCATGTTCTTTTGTTCAATCTAGTGGGTGGGCCTTCTCAGTCCTGAATTTTCACAATTGTTCTTGAGATATATATGTGTGTTATTCCCTCTCAGCAGGGGACATTCTGAGATCCCTAGAAAACAAACAAAAAATTAATGTTCACACATACTTCATTTGGTTCTTAGAATTAATTAAAGCATATGTTTGTTATCTGGGTGTTGTGGCAGGCAACTATAGTCCCAGCTACTCGGGAGGCTGAGGCAATAGAATCTCCTAAGCCCAAGAGCTGGAGGTTGCTGTGAGCTGTGATGCAACAGCACTCTGTGAGTGATAAAGTGAGACTTTGTTAAAAAAAAAAAAAAAAAAAGTATATGTTTCTGTTCCCAGCTTTCACATCAAAAAATTGAGGTAAAGAGGTCGAATGAGGGCAATCTTAATGGCTTTTCCCCTTTTAACGTAGAGCTGATTGGTTAGTTCCTCACAAAAGATAAACTTTTAGTACTTTTCTAATCATCAAGGGATTCAATCATGAAGATGGTTTTATACTTTTGTGATAAGCAAATTAATTCACAAGTTCTTTTCAAACATAAACTAATGCTATCCAAATCAAGATATTAGCGCCACAGTATTCTATGATGTGGATCTTTAAAACCAATTTTGGGTTCATATTTTAAGAGATGTTAACAATATTAAAATACTTTTATGGGAGAAGATGACTATGATAGTGATGGAAGAGAAAACCTTGCTGTGAGCAGATACTTGAAGAGCTGTCATGCAAAAGAGGAAGCAACTTTTTTCTTATCCATTCATTTAGGTAACAAATATAAGTATCTACTGTGTGTTTGATGCTAGGGATATATTGATGAAAGCTACCTCCTCTTCTGGGAACACAGTCTACAAAACAGAAAATAATAGTACCATGGGACTCTAATGGTCTATAGACAGAGTCTGTACACTATGAAGGACAGGCTAAAGCTTGGTTTTTGTATTTTTAAAGGATTGTAAAAATCAGCAAAAGAAATATATGTCACAGAGCATACTTGACCAACAAAACCTAAAGTATTTAGCATCTGACCCTTTATAAAAATGTTTGCTAACTTCTGATTTAGAGGGTAAAATGAATATATAACTTAAAGAGAGGCTGTTTTTTAGCTTGGTATAAAAAGTGAATTTCTAATAGAGCCACTTAATGGTGGAAAAGCCTATATAACAATAACAGTTGAACTTTATGTTGCTGTAAAATAGTAAGCAAAATTCTATAGTAGAAAAATTTCAGTACTGGGTAGGAGACTGTGCTATGTGACCTGTAAAATGTTTTCTCATGTAAAGTTTTATAACTCTAGCTTCTCACTTACTGTAGATAAAGTAGAACATTTTAAATTATTGGAACAGATCCAATAATTTAGAGAAAATTCCATCATCACTGTTTTATTATACATAAATATCATCATTGTGATATTTAGGCTCTCAGGAATGGCATATGTCATTAATGACTGGTGCCAAAATGGTTAGATACCTCAGAAAAGAGGGATGTAAGTCATTAACAGCTATCCAAATGTGAGGAAACATGAAGCAATGAAAAGTTGTAGGAAAAAGACATTGCCCATAAGAAATACAACCTTCCCACTGTGTAAATGGTTTACATTGTTGGCCTGCTCCTGTAGCAGATATATCTCCCGTTTACCTGGTCTAACTTTCCAGCTGCACTCTGAAATAGTCTTAAATATTTATGGAGATGTAGAAATACTGCTTACTTATTTCTTGCTACTTTTTAGTTATACCTAAATAGTTATTTTAGATAGTAAAGATTTCTGTAGGTTCTGGCACTTTTAGTCTTTTTTTTTTTTTAAATCAAAGACTCTCAGGTTTTTGAAATACTCAGTGTAGGGTTAATTGGTAATAGTAAGTTTGCTATACTTGGCTGTTGGTTCTCCTTGTAGTATCAGTCCTAGTGTATTTTGGGGACTGTTAAAAATGCTTCATGATTCTCAGAGAGGCAAAGGACTGTTATGAAGGTTTAATACTTAAGCCAAGGCCAAAAGGAACCATACCAGTTGTTCCTAGGTGGTAATAGTTGTCTGTTAGTTTCTTATTTTTAATTCATTCAGTAAATTTTTTCAAATACTTACTAAATATAGCAGATTCTTTGCTAGGAACTGAGGGACATAATTGTTAATAAAGCAGACATGGAGTTTGTAATTCACATGTGAAGCAGAGACACTATAGATTAAAGTAAGAGAGTGATGAATTATGATAGGCAAGGTGTGCAGCATATCTGAGACAGTAAGAATGCATCATTGTGTTAAGTGAAAGGCAGAAGACACCATAGTGAGCTCTGTCAACTCTTGGTTATAGTAATTTCAGGAAGAACATTGTTGAGAGAGAGGAGTCTTCACTTTGTACACAGTATTACAGGTATTTTGAAATCAAGAAAGTATACTGTAGCAATCAGTATTACAGTCATATTGAAAAAGCAGTTTAGTTTTATAAAGCATCTGTCAAGTTAAATTAATTTTAAAAATAATACTTTTGATTTTATCATAAAGTTTTGTTTCTATTATTTTTTGTTTTGTAGTTTTATAAATGCAATAAGGACTTCATGCTTAGATTGTACATATTTAAGAATATTGCATTTTTTCCTTTTTTCTTTCTTTTTTTTTTGATTCTCAACCAAAGTGAATAAGGATGTCATTAGAATGATTTAAGTCAACATTCAGGAGGTCACAAGAATTTTTTTTTCTTTAAAGGAGCAGCTCAAACTTTTTGGGAAACAGGATTCCTTTATACATTTAAAAATTACTGACAGCTTCAAAGAACTTTTCTGTTCGTTATTTCCTAATTAGAAATTAAAACTGAGAAAGTTAAAAAAATATTAATCCATTACAAATAACAGTGCACCCCATTGCATGTTAACATAAATTACATATTCTATAGAAAAATAACTTTTCTAAAACAATATTTAGAAGGGTGGCCTTGTTTAATTTTAAAACAAAAACCTACCAACTCTATAATGTCTGACTTAATAAAAGATAGCAAAATTCTCAGATCTGTTTCTGTATTCAGTCTGTTGCTCCATTAGACATTCTATAGCTTCTAAAAAATGTTCCTGTTTCCTTTTGAGAGGATATAATTTTAGGGTCCTGGAGCCCCTGGACAGTAATACTTTGATATGATATAAGGAGTATAGTCTATACTAGGTAAGAGGGTACAAGGTACAAGTATTTGCTAAGAAGTTAGAACTCTTGGGTATAAATCTCACTCTGGCATTTAAGCTATTTGAATGTGGACAAGTTACTTAATGCTTAAATTTTTTTTTTTTTTTTTTTGAGACAGAGCCTCAAGCTATCCTCCTGGGTAGAGTGCCATGGCACCACAACTCACAGCAACCTCCAACTCCTAGGCTCAAGTGAGTCTCCTGCCTCAGCCTCCCAAGTAGCTGGGATCACAGGTGCCCACCACAACGCTTGGCTATTTTTTAGTTGCAGCCATCATTGTTATTTTGGCGGGCCTGGGCTGGATTTGAACCTGCCACCTTACTTGTATGTGGCTGGCGCCTTAGCCACTTGAGCCACAGGCGCCCAGCCTAATGCTTAAATTTTATAGTCATTTTTCCTTACCTATAAGTATAATAGTGCCTATCTTTCAAGGTTGTTGTGAGAATTTGAATGAAAGGTTAAGTCTGAATCCAAGACTCTAGTAATTGGTAGCTGCTGTTGCTATTATATTATTATTCTAATATTTCTACACACTTCCAGATGGTAACATATTTAGGTACTTTATTACTTGACCAGCCCCAGCAAGAATGAGACCCCCATCACAAAAACTAGCCATGGCAAGTGCCTGGTAGTCCCAGCTACTTAGGAGGCTGAGGCAAGAGAATCACTTAAGCCTAAGAGTTTGAGGTTACTGTGAGCTGTGATGCCACTGTACTCTACTGAGAGTGACAAAATGAGACTCTGTCTCAAAAAAAATTAGTTGAGTAAGCTAAATAATTGATTTTCAGTATTACTTAGCATTTCTCAGCATTTTTATATTTGAAACTTTACAGTCATACAAGACAGCTTTGCTACTCCTGATTTGCCTTTGCTGACATGTTCGACACAAGACCAAGACTTTGGGCCTGACTCCTTATTTCACCAAAGTGAATTAGGCTTTGCACCTCTGAGGTAGGAGGATTTATTTATCTGTATGAAACCATCTGCTCTTTTCTTATTCTAAGTTGTTAGTAATAATAGTTACTTCAGGCTAAGGTGGGACTTTGGGGTGGGAGTTATATATTCTTGGCACATACACTCTGGGTAATAAGGTCATAAATTAAGACTTGATGCCGTTTTGCTATGTATTATTTTATAATTACTTTTATGAAAAGCAATCTATACACATTCGGTCATCAACCACTGGTTGAGTTACTGTTGTATTTTGAGAGAAAAATCTCTTTTTGAGTGGTTTTTCAAGAACATAATGAATGACTAGTAAAACAGTTAATGCAGGTTAAATGAACATTAAATCATGGTAGGTGATAAACTAAATATTTAAAATACTAACATTTAAAAGATTATTTGAATTTTTCATTTAAAGCATCTTTTTTTTTTGATATTATGAAAATTAGATTCTTTGCATTTACCTTATAGTAACAAAAAATTTGCTTTGATCAGTCATTGGTCACCTTAAAGGAATTTGAAATTTGGAGAACTTTGTATTTCAACACACTTTATAAATTTGATTTCAGTGAGATATCAGTTTTATGTTTTTGTGTTAGTACTTAAAAATTAAATGTTTTAATGTCTTATTTTTTAACTGTATATTTTTAGGGGAATTCCTGATAGATCTGAAGACACTGAATGGCTTTCTCGACCATCAGAAGTTAGTGAAGCTTTATTCCAGGCTACCTCAGACGTAGCTTCAGACTTATCCAATAGTTGCTTTAGTGTATCTCAGCACACACTTATAGGTAGTACAGCTACTGGGTCTCAGCGCTCTTTTATGCCTCCTGAACAAGGGGATGATGAAGAGGTCGTTTCATCATGTAGTGCTGAGGAACTGAAAACTCCCAAAGACTCTGATAGTTATTGCGCTCCTTATTCATGCATGTCATGGAAGACACGAAAAGATACACAGCAGCCAGAAATCAATTTATCTGAAAAAGATGATGTTTCAGTTTCAATATCGTCTGATATACCTGATGCAAACATAGATAGCAAAAGAAGTGATGATTTTGATGCTTCTTGTTCATATGCACAGTACTGGAAACAGGAGGCAGAAACATATTTAGCCAGCAAGGAACATGATTCTTTTTTGGATTTATGTGACACAAGTGATAAAAATAAAATTCCCAAGGAAAGTAACGATTTTTGTGTCCCCCTTTCCTGTGTGCCACAGACCAAAGAGGGAACTCCACAAAATCCAGAAACATGTGCAATCAGTAAGGACTGTGTTTGTTTTCCACAAGAAGTTACTCCTCATCAAAATAATACAAAGTCCAAGGCATACTCTTTCTTGAGATCTATGTTCGAAAGAAGAGGAAAAGGGGTTCCCTTGACACCTGATAGTCCTTATTCTCAGACAGTCTGTTTAAGGGCTCCTGTTGAGAATGAGGTGAGACAAAAGATGGATTGTTTGGAGGGTTATGAAAGAAATGAAGAAGGTCTGCAGGAGGAATTATCTCAATGCTTTGAACAAACAGAGACTGAAAATAATGTATCTTCAGAGGTTGATCCCATCTCACAAATACAGTATGTTGGGAAGGTTGTAGTTCCTGTTAATTCTACAAAAGTTTCAGAAGCACATATACTCTCTAGGGGACAGGATACCTTTAAGATGGAGCCTTCTGCTGGTCCTCTTAAGACTATTAAATCCAATTTGGATGGAACATCAAAACAACTGTGTTTTCAAGAGGAAGGAAAACAAAAGGAAACTTCTGTTTTTGGTGAGAAAAATGTTGATGCTACTGAAAATATAGCCTTTGAGGCAATTATTGCCTCTATTGAGCCATCCAAGAAAGAGAGTACAGTAAATGAAATCCAAACTGACATCAATAAATCTTTAACAGATAACAGCAAAGAGAGAGAACAAAAAAATTCAGATCTTTCCCCATTAAATTATAATGATGAAAACTCTTTCTTTGATAAGCTTAAGCATCCACGCTATGAATCTACTCCTGGGGTATTTGAGCCAGCAACTTCAGAACCATTGTTGCCTAAAAAGGATGATGATAGCTCCTTATACAGGCATCTAAATTTAAAATCACCCCCTAATGCTCCTCAGGAAATGTTCATTAAGCCACTTTTTGTTATTCCAGAGCTTAAGTCATCTGCTTCTTTAAATGAAAAATCTTACAAACAGGCTGTTGGTCTTGACAAAACACAGTCAGCTTTATTTCAGTGTGATATAAACAGTGAACCATTTCTTCCCACTGGGGAGATAAAGTCTGTTCCTGCTCTTGCCCTTGCAGAGAAGGTAGGATCTTCAAACATTATTTACCATATGAAACTATCAACTTCAGATTCTTTGGTTTTACAAGATTTAAAGCAGCCAACCTTTGAAGAAGTTGCAGATTCCTCATACTATGAATTGGGTAAGGATATTAACTCTAGTAATGCCATTGAAGGTCCACCTACAGTTGTAAGGAGCAGCTTTTCGGCAAACTTGGTGGCATGTGATGCAGAATAACAGGGGGCTTTACCTCTTACCAGTGATGCATCATTAATTGCAGTCGGCCAAGAGTCATTGCTGAAAGCTGATATAGGACAAGGTGAAATTCCTTGGCTTCTGGGAGCTGAGCCCAGTTTTAATATACATTCAGTTATCCAAAATGACTCTTGTTTTGTAGGGGACCTGCAGGAGAAGGCTGAGTCTGATACCATTGCTCTGGATGCTGCTAGAGAATCTTTTTATGAAAATGATGTTGTGCTCAGAGAAGGAGCTGCTGAACTACGAAGAAGGGTGAGATATAATAAAATGATGATTGTAGAAAACATGGCCTTTTCTAGTTTTGTTTTGGGAAATGGTATTGCTTGTTTTTATTTTACTTTTTACTATTTCCCACACACATGACCATTGTTTTTTGTTGAGTACCTTGAGCTAGCTGCTTTAGAAAAATTTGCTTGATAATCTAGAAAGTGGTTCTCAACCTTCCTAATGCTGTGGCCCTTTAATACGGTTCCTGTGGGTCGCAACCTATAGGTTGAGAACTGCTGATCTAGAAGATTTGTGACAGCTCCCTGTACTGGTAACCTGCTTTACAAATATCATCTGAAAAGACTGTTAAGTTTTTCTATTTGACATTTCTTAAGGATGGAGAAAGGAATATTTTAGCGAAAAATGGTAATGAAAGTAAAGGGCCCATTCATATCCTCTGATACCAACTTATGACTTGATCTTCATCAGATATTTGGGAATATGCTCTATTGATTTGTTAAAGATTGGCATAAAAGAAGTGTAACGTGTTTTGTAGCGTGTTTGACTTAGTTCTGTGGTATCTTGGAAAAGGTCATCCTTTGGAGCTCTTAGGCCATTAATCTTGAGGCAGCCTGACTCTTCCCAGTTGTGCCAGCAAGAGTCTTTAGGATTTAGTGTTAAGATTAAACTCACTCCTGGGGACATTCAAATGATTGTGCTTTTCCCTCACTCTGGTCTGCAATGTACAAACCTTGGATTAGGCCCTGAAATATTGTCCTATATCAGCTTTCAGCAGTGACTCTTTGCCGACTGCAATTAACGATGCATCACTGGTAAGAGGTAAATAATATTCAAGTAATTCTGTTTAGAAGATCCTGAAAGATTTGATTACAGATGTTGCCAAGAAGAATATAAAATGTATAATGTCCAAATTGCCTAGTGTCCTTAAAGGGAACTAACTACCTCCTTTCCAAATGAGCAACAGACAACTTTACATATTCTCTCCCTCTCTGTATTTATATCTTTTTTTTTTTTTTTTTGCAGTTTTTGGCCAGGGCTGGGTTTGAACCCACCACCTCCAGCATATGGGGTCAGCACCCTACTCCTTTGAGCCATAGTGGCTGCCCTGTATTTATATCTTTATTATCATTGTTTGTTTGTGTACTAGAAAATGGTAACTCTGGGATGTTACAAAAATTCTATGTCAGCCTTTCTTTTTGTACAATGCTTTATTTGCCTGGATCCTTAGGTTCCTTGGCTGTAATGCTCCTCTGGACCCATTGCACATCATCTTTGTTTGAAACTGCCTGTTCCAAGGTGGACTCCACTTCCTTAAAAGATATACCCTTATATCCTGTTAGTCATTAAACGCAGTTAGATAATACAGGTGATGTGCTTACTGTTACTTCTCTTTTCCTGTCTGTGTATAAGATTGGTTTGTCATTGAGAAGCTACTAGCTGGGTTACAACCACATTTAGATCTTTAGGTTCAGACAGTTAATAAGAGAAAATGAAAATTTTCTGTTATTTATAATTTGTTGAATTTGTAAAATATATTTTTTAAACGTAGAGAATCACTGGGTTAATTTTTATTTTTTTCAGTATTCTAATAATGGGGGTGAAAATGAAAGTTAACACTCTTGTGCTCAAATATCGTGCTATGAGGTACACATATACAGAGGGTGCCAAAATATACATACGTACACACAAATTTTAGGAAAGGAAAAAACTGTTAAACTATTAAAATTGTAATACTCAAGTCATATTTGACTTCTGCAATTATAAGGGATATAAGATACAATGTACAAGATAACAAACGTTATGGGTACATGTTGAGTATTGCAACTTCGTGAACTTAATTGTCAGACCTCATATTTTGGCAAGGGTTAAGGTTTTGAAGGAAATTGCTTAAAGTCAGTTTCAGTAAGAAGGAAAAACTAAATTATCATTTTTAAAGAGTTCTAATGGTTCTTTTGTGATTTACATCAACTTTTCATGTGTATAAAATATATTTTTAAAAATGAAGAAGATATATATTCAGTTAATATTCTGAGGTTAACTTTGACATACCAAATTTTATCTGTCTTTAAAGATATTCCTAAGTATATTCTTTCAATCTAGGGAAGATGCTATCCCTGTATTGTATTTCAATCTTAGCTATGTTTTGTGGTCTAGGAGTTACTTAATGTAGATACTAGAGAAATGAGTCATAAACCATCGTAATTTTTCTGCATAGTTTAGTTTGATTTTAGGGAGCTTGTGTACTCCTTGGTTTCTTCCTCATTCTCCTTACCTGTGTCATAGAAGAGTCATTCTTGACTCACTTTTATGTCTGTCTACCTGTCATTTTTCAAAAGGATTATTTGGTTATCTACTTACGTTTGTTGCAGCTTAGTGCTATGAAAAGAGCATATAGATTTGTGGTCAAAATCCAGTTTAGTTATTATTGTTAGTCTTGTGCCTTGAACAGATGACTTTGGGTGATCATTTTCCTCATCTACAGAGAAAATAGGAATAGGAGTGGTAATATTCAACCTCATACATTAAGATATTAAATGGGGTAAGGCCTAGCACTTATGTAGTGTCAAGCTATTAATTCCCTTCACTTTACTGAAATCAGGTTACTAGACCCTTACCAGCGGTTTCTTTTTTATCATTATTTTTTGTTTTTTTCCCTTCTGTTCTCAGTAGCAGAATATAGTAAGAAACAATTCTAGTACCTTTATTTTGACCACTTAGCTCTAAAATTTATTTAAGATATAAGCCTTAGATTTCCTACTCACCCCTTCAAAAACATAGTTCCTATCAAGGCTTAAATGTTAATCTCTGTGTTGGATGATTATCACGTCTGTTTTTAGATCCTAATGTTTGTTGTCAGTTAGGCCAGTATGGCATCTTGCATGAAGTTTTCTTATGAACATTGTCACCTCAAATTCAACTTGCCTCTATCAAAATAGTTCCTTTTTTCTTAAAGTCAGATTGACTTGTGGATTTCCTACATTCTTAGGAGAACTATTAGCATTTTTCTAGTTTCTTAGTCATCTTTAATTCTTTCTTCATTATTGATTAAAAATTAGGGGACAAACTTACCTTGATTTTTGTTTTTCCTGGTTCTTTCCATTTTCAATTAATAATGAAGGCCTACTGAGTTCTTAAATAAATACTTCTCATCTTTTTCATTCTACATTATTTTTTGTATTACCTACTCTAATAGTTCTATATGTTGATGCTTTGATATGAAACTTTATTAAAGTCAAGGTTGTAATAAAAGCTTTTTTCTTTTTATATTTAGAACCTGTGGGAAATAACTTCTGTTAAACACACATGCTTTCTCTCATAAGTATCTATCTTCATATTATATACTGTCATGTGCTATGAAACATTGTTTTAGTTAATGATGGACCACACATATATATATAAGCACATATGTATGTGGCCCATCATATATGTATGTATGTATATATATGCATATATATGTGTATATATATAAATATAATGTATTTTTACTGTACCTTTTCTGTGTTTAGATATGTTTATGTACACAAATACCACTGTGTTATAATATAGTATTTGGTATAGCCACCTGTAGTATGTGTTTATAGCATAGGAGCAGGCAATAGGCCAAATCAAAAAGCCTAGGTGTGTGGTAGGCTCTGCCATCACTCTGTGATGTTTGCTTAAGGAACAAGGTAATTGGAAACTAAGAACTTTGTGCTACATGTAGAGCTGGGCCTCTTCACATTGTTATCATTTGGGATGGATACTTTTTGCTATTGGTGGTTGCCTGTGTATTTTAGGATGTTTGTATCTCCCTGGAGTCTACTCACTAGATACCAGTAGCATTCCCTTCCTTAACAAGCTATGGTAGTGAAAAATGTCTCTAGACATTGCAAAATGTCCCCTGAGTGGTGCAGAATCTTTCCTAATTGAAAACCACTGAACTAGAGAAACCTGTATGGGTAATAGATATAGAACAACCATTTCTATACCCTGCCAACTTCCTAAGAATGTTTATTACTAAACAATGAAAAAGCTGATAAGAGAGGATAGAAAATTTCATACTGTGTGCATTTCTCAATGCCTTCCTGAGAGGTTATGATTGGAATAATTTTTTTAGGGAAATTAAGGTACCTAAAAGTGGTATTTTTTTTTTATGGGAGTGTACTGTGAATTTGATAGAAAGTTGTACATGTTTATGTATTAATGTCACCAGTAATAGTTTAAATTTATTTTCTAGTAAAGGCTTATTAGGATCTGATGAAACATTAGGAACTCCTTTTTTAAGCACTTAATGTTTACCTTACTGTCAATTTATAGTCTCTACTACCTTGGTTCCAAGAAGTTTGAGGACTTATGTTTTCTGGTAACTGATCGCAGTTACAGTTCTTTTTCGTCTTATTTTTACCTCCCCACAGTGCTCTGTTCAACTTAAAAAAAATCCTTGAGCTTCTCAAGAATAATATGACATAGTTTGAAGTTTATAATGATTATGATTATAAAAAAGTGATCTTCCAAGTAACAGAACACCAGGCATACTGTCTGTTATATTTCATAAAGGCAGATTTCCAATCCCATAGAAAGATTTATAGAGTCTTCTCAGAGTTGGCCAAACAAAATATGACCTGTATTTGAATTCAGGAGGGCTGAGAATATGATCTTAAGTAACAAGTATTCATTTTGATAAAAATTAGGCTTTTTTTGTTAGTAGGCAAATTCTGTAATTAATATAATCTTATTTTCTTCATTTCTCTTTTCATAGGCAACTCATTCTTATCTCGGTAATCAGCCTTTTTCATCTTTAATGCCTTCATTTCTTCCTCATGAGTCAACCGAAGAGTCAGGATATCAATCTCCAACTCTCAGAATGTTGAGGGTATCTCCTGACACTCTGCTAAAGACTCTACAACATTTAACAGGTATGTAGAAAAAGGAGGTATTAAATGTCTACTTTATGGCTACCTTATGAAAAATAGCTTGGTATGTCTATCAATTTTAAAAATTTTGAACTCTTACAATAAAGTTAATACTTTGAATTAGATATATTTATAAATCATATCTTAGTTTTTTTGGACTGCTGTTACACAAATATCTTAATAATGTAAATGTGACTTATAAACAACAGAAATTTATTTCTCATAGTTCTTTTGGAGGCTGGGGATTCTAAGACCAAGGTGCTGTTAGATTCAGTGTCTCATGAGGGCCTATTCATTACAGATGATACCTTCTCATTGTATCCTCATATGGTGGAAGGGGCAAGAGATCTCTCTGGGGTCTTTTTTATCATGGTCTAATTCCCCAAATTCCTAATACCATTATCTTGGGGGTTAAGATTTAAACATAAGGCTTGGCGCCAGTAGCTCAGTGGCTAGGGCACCAGCCACATACACCAGAGCTGTTGGGGTTGAATCCAGCCTGAGTCTATCAAACAACAATGACAACTACAACCAAAAAATAGCCAGGCATTTTGGTGGGCACCTATAGTCCTGGCCACTTGGGAAGGCTGAGGGAAGAGAATCGCTTAAACCCAATAGTATGAGGTTGTTGTCAGCTGTGATGCCACAACACTCTGCCGAGGGTGACATAGTGATACTCTGTCTCAAAAACAAACAAAAAAAGATTTAAACATAAAAATTTTGGAAGGACACCAATATTCAGATCATAGCGAATACCCTGATTTTTCATTAGATGAATCATTTCATTTTTCACGGCATTCCACAAGACAGCATTTAGAACTGAATTGTATGGAGGAGTCTGATAGTAGAGGCAGTTTGTTTCTTTATTCTTCTGAGTGACTTGAAGGGAAAAAGAAATATTGAGCTCAAGAGGATAAGCGTGGATGTAAATAAATTTGTAGAGAGGAAATTGAGAGAAATTGATTTTGAGGTATAAAGCAGCATTATCTGCTGAGGGAGGTAGTCATGAAAGTAGTGTGAGGGGGTTGAGGAGAATGGCTTGATGAAGACTTAGAATTTCATTGAAGTAAATATGGGATGGAGCTGACCAAGGACAAGTGAAAAGATGGGCAGGTAATTTTGAGAAGTCAGCTTTAGGTTGGAGATAATAATTTTATAACTTTGTCAGTCTATATAGAATCTCTGATTTTTCCCCCCTACTAAAACTCAAGAAAGGAGAAGATGAATTACAGTACTGATCCGTGGTTGAGGGGTTCAATATATGGATGTGGTGGAAGGATAGCAGTGGAAAGGAATCAGTGAGAGAAGGGTTGATAAGCTATTGTTTTCAGCTCATGTAGGTAAGCAGTCCAAAGAGTTGTTAGTCTGGGAGAAAATGGAAAGACCAGAGATTTATTTAAGAAGTTGATTAGATGAGGTGGGAATAAATTATTGAGAGAGCTAGAAGAATGGGCAATTTTTGTCAAATTTAGTTGATTGAAATGAGGATTAGTTTGAAGGGTGATTAAGTTCCTTAAGTACCTTTGGGATTGGATAGTAGAAGTTGAATAAAGATCTCTGGAGTAAAGATTTTATTTTATTATTTATTTTTTTGAGTCTCACTTTATTGCCCTTGGTAGGGTGCTATGGCATCATATCTAACAGCAACCTCAAATTCCTGGGCTTAAGCGATTCTCTTGCTTCAGCCTCCCGAGTAGCTGGGACTATAGGTGCCTGCCACAACACCTGGCTGTTTTTTTGTTGTAGTTGTCATTGTTGTTTAGCAGGCCCCTACTGAGTTCAAACCCACCAGCCTTGTTGCATGTGGCCAGTGCCCTAACCACAGAGCTTCAGGCGCCAAGATGAGTTATTGATTTTTTAGTTTGTTAAGTTGTTTTCTTGTGAGGATCAGAGTGATTATCTTTCAAAAAAAATTTTTTTAGAGTAATTTTTGTAAAACAGTAAATAAATAAAAAATCTGTGTGCTATTTTTGAATATGAGTTCCATCATGGAACCAGTGCAGTGCAGACAGCTCAAAATATCAACAACGTGTTCGGGAATGATGTGGTGAGTGAATACACAGTACATTGATGGTTTGAGAAGTTCTTTCTGTTCTGGTGATTTTCATCTTGAAAATGAGCCACATGGGCATCTGAGACCAAGGTGGATCATGATGAGCTGAAAGCTATAGTGGAAGCAAGTCTACCTCAACCTACGTGTGAATTATGAGCAAGGTTTGACATTAGGATTCCAACAATATTGGACCATTTGAAACAAATTGGCAAGGTAAAGATAGAAGCTGGATGAATAGGTTCTGCATGAATTTAAATGTGTCAGGAGGGAAATTCTCTCAAAGCTTGTCTTTTTATGTTATCATGACATGAAGGCAAATCATTTCTATACCATATTGTTATGTGTGATGAAAAATGATTATTTTTGATGATTGCAAGCCTTCAGCACTATGGTAGGATAAAGATGAAGTATCACAGCATAGTCCAAAAGTAAATATTCATCCAAAAAAGCTAATGGTAGGGCAGTGCCTGTGGCTCAAAGGAGTAGGGCACCGGCCCCATATGCCGGAGGTGGCAGGTTCAAACCCAGCCCTGGGAAAAAACTGCAAAAAAAAGAAAAAAAAAGAAAGCTAATGGTGTTTGGTGGTCCAGTGCTGGCATTAGCCTCCCAGTGATTTTAAACTGGTGTGCTTTGAAAAATTTTAAAGATCATTAATTAAATTATTTTTGAAAGAAATTCTAAGCATAGTAAACACATTTTTTTTTTTTACTCTTTTTTTTTTTTTGGATCAACATAATTTAATGGATGTTTAACTATAGGTTCAAGTGTACTGTGAGATCAAAAAGGCTGAAAAACACTGCTCTCCAGCTTCATGAAATCTGCTGGTCAGTTGATTGATAGAATAGTGCAACTATTGTAACTAATTGGATGACTTGATGACGATGCTGGTCAACAGAGACCAGACCAACCCTCTGCAAGACAACACTGTCATACAAACATTGCTGCTCAAACTCCAGAAGCTGGAGTTGGAAACTCTTTCATCCACTGTATTCACCAGACCTTGCACCAACTAACTACCATGTCTTCCAGGCTTTTGACCACTTCTTGCAAGGAAAAATATTCAGTTCTCAACAAGCTATGGAAAATGCCTTTTAAGATTTCATCACCATTTGCTTACCAGGCTTCTTCATTGCTGGCATACACAAGCTACCATTAAGATGGGAAAACTCGGCTCAGCGCCTGTGGCTCAAGTGGCTAAGGTGCCAGCCACTTACACCTAAGGTAGTGGGTTTGAATCCAGCCCGGACCCACCAAACAACAATAATAATGGCTGCAACCAAAAAATAGCCAGGTGTTGTGGCAGGCACCTGTGGTCCCAGCTACTTGGGAGGC